GTAGTAGTGGTAGTAGTAGTAGTAGTAGTAGTAGTGGTAGTAGTGGTAGTAGCAGTAGTAGTAGTAGTAGTAGTAGTAGTAGTAGTAGTAGTAGTAGTAGTAGTAGTAGTAGTAGTAGTAGTATGAGTAGTAGTAGGAGTAGTAGTAGGAGTAGTAGGAGTAGTAGTAGGAGTAGTAGTAGTAGTAGTAGTAGTAGTAGTAGAGTAGTAGTAGTAGTAGTAGTAGTAGTAGTAGTAGCAGCTTGGGGCACAGTACTGATTAGACTGGGCTTTTTGGGGGTCTGGGATAGGATTCTACGACTATGTTCCTGCATAGGGACTGTAGCAAGGGATATTCTGTCTCAAGTGCCATTCTTGGGATGTCTGGGAGATCATCCAATGGCGCGTGAAGGGCCTCGGGACACGGTGGCGTGTTTCGTGATGCGATAAGGCTACTAAAACTTTCTGTAGTTCCTATAACTGTTCACTATAGTGTACTATAATGGATAGTATGTACTAACCATTATAGTTGACAGTTAAAGCCTTGCTTCCCAGGATTTTGGGGCCCGTACGCCAAGTGGAGCTCCGGGCTGCCAAAGGAGGAAGCAGGGCTCTTTATCCTCACAACAGCTTTTTTGAAGATGGCACGGGGGTTTCTGTACGGTTTTTAGGGTTTAGGGTTTAGGGCCTTCCTTCCTTGACAAAAAACCTCCCACAGATTGCCCGAAATTGGAGGGAACCCTCCCACATGAGGCAGAGCCAACCACAAAAAAATCCGACTGCGCCTGAAAGCCTCAAAATCTCCCCCAAATCCAAAACCACTTAACTAAGGTTTAGGTAGGATCCCTATAATATTCCTTAATTCAGGGATTTTTGACGATCTGGGAGGGAAACTGGGATCCTTGCTCGGAAGGCTGCCTCTTTGCGCTCCATGTTGGAGCCACTGCTGGTGAGGCCTGGCAGAAGAGTTGGGATCAGTCTATACTGTATATGGCACACAATAGACCATGGAGCAGTATAGAACGGTGTAGAATAGAGTACAGCACAACAGAGAGCCGAGTGGAGTGGAGCATGGCATGGCACAGCACACCATGGCAAAGTATCGTGGAGTAGAGTAGAGTAGAGCAGGGTAGAGTATGCACTACAGTTGTGTCTGCAGTTTTGTATTGTATAGGGTTGCACTTATTGTCATGGTTATTAGTAGCATTGTTATCATCGTTTGGTTACTTGAGCTATTTCTGCGTATGTATGTGTGTATGTATGTATGTATGTATGTATGTATGTATGTATGTATGTATGTATGTATGTATGTATGTAATGTATGTATGTATGTATGTATGTATGCTCATGTCATCCCGAAGTGCGCGTGCATGTTGTAGGTACCGGGTCGACCTTTACCTGGCATCGCATGTTCATGCCTATGAGAGAACCTTCCGAACGGTGAATGGCTCGGTGTGTGCTGGGCTCAGCACTGTGATGTCAGTCAGGGTGATGGGCTCGCTAGATTTTCCGTGATCAGTTACGGTTGGGACCTCGGCAACTTGTCCCCAGTTTTAAGACGCTGTACAGTGGCAATGGCTGCACTTCTCGACAGTAAGGTGTTTTGAGAGGGAGGAGTGAGCTTGCGAGGATCGAGTTCGAAACTCCACCGGAGTCCAATGCGATAAAGGCATCTATCACTGTGCACAGAAGACAACTTGTCCTGTCATGTCGGTGTAAGATGGACCTGGTATCACGAGCCCTGATCGTCGCTTCTTGAGGGGGTTAATAGGTTGAGAAGGCAGAGGAGATTTTGAGACGTAGCTGCTGGTGGATCCCTAGAACCCTAGAGCCCTAAAGTCCTGAACCCCTAAACCCCGATACCCCGAAACCCTAAACCCTCCGTGCCATCCCCGGCTCCGCTGGCCTCCCGGTAAGACCAGGGTTGCGGTTAAAAGGAAACTAAAACAAATGTAACGGAACCCTTATTTTTTACTACACAAGGTTTAGGGTTTAGGGATAAGAAAACGAAACCCTATGATTTGCTATATAGGGTTTAGGGCTTAGGGATA